TTCAACAGCATTTGCACTGGGTTTAACAACCATATGCACTTGAGTTTACATCCATGTGCACTGGAGTTCATAATCTTGTGCAATGGTTTAACCACGATGTGCGATGGGGTTCACAAACAAGTGCACTGGAGTCCACATCCTTGTGCACTTGAGTTCAATTTCATATGCGCCTGAGTTTGTAACCTTGTGTACTGGAGTTCACGACCATGTGTTCATGAGTTCACAACATCTGTAATTGAGTTCACATCCACGCGCACTTGAGTTCATTACAATGTGTACTGGAGCTCACAACCTTGATATCTTGAGTTCAAAACCATGTGCACTGGAGTTAACAAACATGTGTATTGGGGTTCACATCAATCTGTAATTGAGTTCACATACATGCGCACTGGATTTCACAACCTTATGAACTTGAGTTCAAAACCATGCGCACTGGATGGAGTTCACATCCTTGTGCACTGGAGCGAACAAACATGCGCACTGGATTTCACAACCTTATGAACTTGAGTTCAAAACCATGTGCATTGGAGTTCAGATCCTTTGTGTAACGGAGTTAACTTCAATGCATAAGGTAATTTTCTTTATCATCTACATACTACTTTATACCTACTACCGGTAGCATGATAACTTCATTATCAGGGGTTGTCAGTATTAGAAGAAGTTGAGAACGACTTGAGAAGAACTTGAGAACTGATTTTCCCATTCCCCAGCACTTGGGAACGTATTTTCGCAAAAGAGAACGTCTGCTCGCGCGAGATGACGTCCAAAACCGGAAAAAGTGTCCACACAAAAGTGATCCGCGCAAGAAAATAGTCCGTCATAAACATATCAATACAAAGTTATGGAAACATATTGTGATAATAACAACAGCGTTTCAGGTGTAAATGTGCATATGTTAAAGCTAATGACGATAGAATTGTTTAAAAAACAAATCAACGTAGTTTTAAGGTCCATATTCCTCCGCGCAAAACTTCCGTTTGTTTACGTTTGTCATAGGCTATCGCGATCGTTGACCATTGAGCTTAGAATTCATTGGGAAACATGGTGTTAAGTTTTTTAAATGGAGAAACATATAAGGTAGTAGTATATAGATGATAAATAGTTTAGCATACAATATTTTCAGTGTTTGTCGTTCGAACAATTTTCTCATCGCTGCACGTCGATACAATCTCGAGTCCACCTGCGTCGGCCTCTCGATTTTATCCACGTGCTTGCGATGAGAAAATACAGTGTGATAATCTATAATGACCATGGCATGTTTGGGTTTTTTTTCAGTTTATACCTTTGTGATTTTTAACCTTCCCGTCTGCTCAATAAACAACTAAATAAAATATGAGATATTACCTAGATGTATGTACAGACATAAAATGCTCTAAGCAGAAAGCAGAATGTATTCATGTAGAGCCCGAGTGTTACGGCACGATTTCTCACCCTGACACGATGTTTTTCACCCGGGTGAGAACTCGTGCTAAAATTGATATGTTCGCAACACAATTTATCACCCCAGCACGATTTCTCACCAGAGTCAGAAATCGTGCAAAGAAATATATGGGCATAGACGACACGTTTCTTACCCGGCATGATTACTCACCCCAGCTCTACATCTCAATTGGGGTATCGTCTGGTGTTTTAGCCTTTTTGAATACACTTTATTTTACAACAATAAAACTATTTTTTCTCTACTTTTTAAAATCACTCTTGCTGACTCGGATGAAAGCGCACAGGGAATTTTCCCATGAGAGGAGATTTGAGCATCCGGAAAAAACACACGTAGTCGGGTAGATGGCCCGTACCTTATCATGTCCGATCGGGGAATGGAACCCTGGCCGACATGGTGAAGGCGAGTGCGCTAGCCAAATTGTACTTTGTCTGTATCTCAGTTTCAACGGGACAGGCAGTAAAGTCTACTCCTTTGAAATGTATTCACTTAAAGATACCGTGCCACAATCTGTCGGAAAATATTGTTTTCTTCATATCAAAGATAATACAGATGCTACAAATTTGGACAAAATGGAATCGTAGCACTATGAGTCGTTCATAATTGTTTAATTTGCAACACCATTGAATTTGTAATTCAAAGAAAACAGGAAATCTCTCAATAATAGGATTGAAAGAATACCTAACTCAAACATTTACATACGAATTGACCTTGTCACAAAAAAACATGCAAATCCAAAAATTCAACAAAACTTGGAATGAATGGAAAAACCTATTTACTTAAGTCCAAAAAAAACCCACCAAAATTATTTGAAAACCAAAGCCAAGTGAATGAACCTCAAACAGTTGGTCACCCATATATCCTCATGAATTACACTAATTAAATATTGTTATCTTTTCTATATGTAAGTGTAGCCCGTTATACACATTAATATACTCATGTGCTAATAACTGGCTAATATACATGTACATGTGTTTATACACCCAAACAGAGTATAATAGGGTATAATGTACACTGTTGAAATATTTCAACTCCTAAAACATTGACCTCCTCCCTAGATTGTAAGAAGCTACATGTATGTATTTGTTGAGTATAGTACATGTCTATATGTGTATGTGAATATGTATATTATACATGAACATCTATAGCTCTGTATGCGAGTATATGTTTATAAACATGTGTATGCGAAGCAGTGTACAAACGTGTGCATGTTTTCCTCTGTTTATAAGTCAAATTGTAAACTTGTACAAATATAACATATGACAATTCCAAATTGTGTACTGTAACTATGATATATCACAATTCCAGTTTTTATACTGTATACATGTACCTATAATGTATTACAATGCCAAATTGTATACTGGATAACTATACCATATACATCACAAAGCCAAATTGTGTACTGTTCAAATATCATGTATCAAAATGACAAATTTACTGTATAAGTATAACATCTCACAAATCAAAATTGTATAATTTATAACTATAACATATCACCAGGCCAAATTGTTTACTATATACCTATAACATATCACAATGCCAAATAATATACAGTACAAGTAAAACATCTCACAATGTAAAATTATTTACTGTATAAGAATATTACATCTCAATGTCAAATTGTATAGTGTATACCTTTAATGACTAATATGATTACAGCATACAAACGCATCTGTATGTGTGTGTATGTGTGTGGATATGCACATGTGTGTGTGGATATGTATATATATATGTGCGTACATCTGTTTGTGCATGCATGTTGAGATGTGTATGTGCATATGCATGTAAATTATGTATGTGTGTGGGTGCATATATATGTGCGTGCATGCATATGTATATGTATGTATGTATGTATGTATGTATGTATGTATGTATGTATGTATGTATGTATGTATGTATGTATGTATGTATGTATGCATGCATGTAAATATGTTTTCATGTATGTTATGTATGTCTGTTATATATGTATGTATGTAAGTATGTATGTCATGAATGTCTGTTATTTAAGGAATGATTTTTATTTTTTCAACATTTATGAGGTCATAACAACAATGGGTTT